GACTGCTTGAAAAACATTTTATATCAGAGTCAGAGTAGTCAGAGATTCTTTATTGTCATTCGCACCTCATGTGGTACATGTGGTGGAGCGAAATTATGTACACAGGGTCCCAGTTATATCCAACAATAAAATGTAAAAGAAAAACAGTAATAACATCTAAGATATGAACTAAGAAAAAAATCAATTAAATATACACTAAGCACTCATAACATAAAAACATTACGTCGAACATCAGCACACACATGAACACGTCTGTGTGAGCAGATGAGCACACATGAACACATCAACATTGAAACAGATCAGCAGCAACATGAAACAGATCAGCAGCAACATGATGTGATTTTTTTCACAGTGATTATTCTGGTTAGATGTTCATGAGTCTTACTACCTCAGGGTAGAAGCTGTTCCTCAGTCTAATGGTTCTACACTTAATGCTCCTCAACCTCCTTCCTGAGGGGAGTGGGGCAAAGTGTGTGTGCTGGGTGAGTGGGGTCCTTCATGATGCAGGTGGCCCTCTTCCTGCATCTAGAGGTGTAGATGTCTGTGATGGTGGGGAGACTGACTCAGACAGACTTCTATGCAGCCTTCACCACTCTCTGCAAAGCTTTTCTTTCTGCAGCTGTGCAGTCTCCATGCCACACGTTGATGCTGGAGCACAGGATGCTCTCCACTGCACACCTGTAGAAGGAGGTGAGGACTGAGCTTCCCAGACCAGCTCGTCTCAACTCCCTGAGGAAGTAGAGTCTCTGATGAGCTTTCTTGATCAGGCTGGTGGTGTTGTTGCTCCAGCTGAAGTTGTCATTCATGTGTACACACAAGTACTTGTAGCTGGAGACCACTTCCACCGCAGATCCTCTTATGTTCAGAGGGGTGTAGGTGTTTTTGTTCCTTCTGAAATCCACAATCTTCTCCTTTGTCTTCTTCACATTGATGTGAAGGTTATTCTCTTTGCACCAGATCTCCAGGTGTTCCACCTCCTGCCTGTAGCTGGACTCATCATTGTTTGTGATGCATCCCACCACCACTGTATCATCTGCAAACTTTACAATTTGACAGCCTGGATGGGTAGCTGCACAATCATACATGAGCAGAGTAAACAGGAGGGGGCTCAACACACATCCCTGAGGAGAGCCGGTGCTGAGGGTTATGGTGGAGGAGGAGAAGTTGTGGATCCTCACTGACTGTGGTCTGTTTAAGAAGTCTAGGACCTAGTTGCAAATGGAGGGGCTTAGTCCTAGTGAGAATAGTTTGTCCATCGTTTGGGGGATCATGGTGTTGAAGGCGGATGTGAAGTCCACAAAGAGCATACAGACGTAAGAGTTTTTCTGCTCCAGGTGGTTGAGCACAGTGTGGACCACCGAGGAGATGGCATCCTCCATTGATCGGTTCTCACGGTATGCATACAGATGAGGGTCCTCGTTGATGTTGATTGTTGTTTTGATGTGAGTCATGACCAGTTTTTCAAAGCATTTGTCTGCCATCCTACGGAGACGCTGGACCGGTAGCTTAACTGGAGCTCCGTTTCCACTGATTCATCGTCAGAGAGGTAACGAGTCGAGTTTACTACAGAGCGTACTGAGGAAAGCTGGGTTCGAATGGAGGGTGCCGTTCTGTTCAACACTTTTCACTCACACACACCATCTCCCTCCCTCTAAACTTCATCTTTCCATCTTTAAAATTCTTCTATCCTGCTAGAAATCATTCCAGATATTTCCAGAAATGTCTGTGGTGAAGCTTGAGGTTTTCAACCATCGCCGTATGGTTAATCAAATTGTACAGCTTGCAAAATTAGCCATGTTGTTGTTGAAATCATTTTGCCAAATTAATGTAAATGTGTGATGTTAAACTTTGATTCTGTAAATAAATGACGCATTCATTTGATGGGTCAAAGAAAATTAACGTCTCACGATACATTTTATTAAATTCAATGCACGACATTATACAGTCCAGAAAAATGAAAGAATCCGTTTAATTTATGAATATATCATGCATATGTTCATCTACATCTGCATTCAGCCAAGGTTTTCTGTTTTGGTAGCTTTTAACCTATCTGATAGTGGAGACTGTGTCAGTACATGTACTTTTTTTTTTTTCTTCCCCCCCTTGTCCTGTCCGGCATTGTGACACTTAGAATTATTGTCTGAGTGTCAAAGTGATGCCCAACAGATTTACTTTCACAAGCAGAGCATTATGGCTGGCCTTAATGCTCCACTTGATATATAAATTAAATTTTATTAGAATATGCGTTGGGTTTGTTTCAGATGTAATGGACACGGGGACGGAAAACAAAGCAGAAAAGTGAGAGAAGAGTTAAAATGTAAAGAAGGAGATAGGAATAGGGGAGAGAGAGAGAGGGATAAAGCGAACACAAATCAACATCATTGAAGTCTTCCTCTAGACCTGCGGAAAAAAAACAAAAAAAACAAAACGAGAAACCACAACAACAAACAACTTATATAATGATATTTATAACATCATTAGAAAGTATTTTATACAGTACATGGTAATACAATATATATTTGATGGCCGCCACAACCCAAATGACTGTGTATCTTATAAACACCTGAATCTAAACACCTGTGTGAGCATGCTTGCCATTATAAGGATTCTCCATAAAAATGTTCAATAGTGGATGTGGGGACCCATAAACCCGTCCCCACAAGACACAAAGGTAACACAGGGAAGACCGGAACCACAGACACACAGAGGCCCCCAAGTCTGGAACTCCGGTAGTCCCCCAACAGGGACACTTGCACCCCCCAGAGAGAGAAGCAAAGGGAAGCCCCGGGCGATCCCCAGCAACCACAATGCAGAAACCCCAGGAGGCTGTAGCGACGAGTCAACAGGCCCTGCCGGCAACCCGCCCCTCCAGAGTGGATCCGGCCATGGACACCAAGCCCCGAGGTCATACCACCCCCCACCAGAGGCCCGACAGAGCCAGGGCACCCAGGCCCCCGCAGGCAGCCACCAGGGCGGGCCCGCACACACCCCACCACCCAGCCCCAGTTGCAGGGGGGCCCACCACCAGAGGGGAGCACGACCCAACAAATGGGGGGCCAAAACTGATCTACAGTACATGTACTAATGTAACCCAGAACTGAGGATGTGTATTGGTCCAGATCAAGCAATCCTCCATTTTCAGCAGCTTCTCTAAAAACCTGCCAGTCTGTTCGATCAAAACAATCTCTCAGTATGGGGCCACTGTCCGGGATCCAACATTTAACTTTCACTCTTAAACTGGGCAGTGAATCAACTACAGGTCATAAAAAACCCGAGTTTGCTGCCGTGAAAGTAAAGGGGACGAATAATATTGCACGCCCCACTTTTCAGTTTATTTGTTAAAAAAAAAATTGACACTTCCAATAAATTTCATTCCATTTCACGATTGTGTCCCACTTGTTGTTGACTCTTCACAAAATATTAAAATTTTATATATTTAAGTTTGAAGCCTGAAATGTGGCAAAAGGTTGAAAAGTTCAAGGGGGATGAATATTTTTGCAAGGCACTGTACATGTGTAGGTTTTCTCCAGATACTCCGGTTTCCTCCCACAAACCAAAAACATGCATGTTACACTGATTGGTAACTCTAAATTGTCCCTAGGTGTGAGAGAGAGAGTGAATGGTTGTTTGTCTCGTTTGTCTCTATGTGTCCCTGTTGTATAAAAATATCCTCTATTTATCTTACTGACATTAAATGAGTCACACTCGACAACGGGAGAAGATTTTTTAACAAGTTATACTTGCAAAGACAGATTTCACAACAGGTTATACAGATATACAAGAAGTACATGCATGGAGCCCAGACACGAAAATCGGCCGCAGCATTGTGCAAAGCTTGTATTTATACTTTTGATCTTGAAGTAACAGCTGCACGCCTGCAGCCTCAAATCAGCTCCTCACCCAGCTCTCCCTGCTAAATCAAATACTGTATACCGGTAGTGGGCAGTTAACATACTCAGCCTTAGTAGTTCAAAACATCCATAAACCTGAAAAATTCCCTAACAGGCCCTGTGATGGACTTGTGACTTGTCCAGGGTGTCCCCCGCCTCTCACGCAGTGACTGCTGGATATGGGTACCTGTGACCTGAAAAAGACTAAGTGGATAAAAGATGATGGATGGATGGATGGATGGATGGATAAAACTAAACTAAAGACCATTGATAACACATCACAGAGGCAAAGACTAAAAATAATGGCAGTATATTGATAGAGCAGTGTTGGGTTTATAGATTCCACAGAAAAAGTGATCTCATAGTAATATTTAAAAAGAGGAAATGACAACATTCAAAATACTTTAAATACATGCTGCCTCTCAGCCAACTTATTTACTGCTTTAGTGTCAGAAAATTTTACAAAAAAAGTCATAGTTTAATGTAAAGATGTGAAAAAAAGCATAAATTGGGGTAATTTGAAACAAACTGCTCCAACTTAAATATCTGTTTTCATGTATTTTACATAACCAAACAAAAAAAATTTCATTCTGTTGAACGTCTTACAACCTGAGTTTTACTGAAGAACACACAGAAGTTGTTTGTATTGCTAAGAATAGTTGAATTGTTTAAATTGCTGTGATTAGTTGAAGTGCTTTTAGAGCTACCGCCTGAAAAGATTTCTGTACGTCTTTAACAAATGTATCTCTGATTTACTTAGAAACACATCAGATCTGATCTGTATATGAGATGTTTGCAATCACACCTCTTTATGTACAAAGAGGAACTATAAAACTGGTCAGACTGTTTGTTTCCAGGCTCTTGACACCAAATAATGTTTGATGAGTGCAGGGATTCCTCCATTAACCTGATTCATTGTAGCTTCCAGAGTGGCAGGGAGACACTGATTACATCCAGCTGAATCTGGTTAATGAGCTGCTGAATGGATAGGACTGAGGGTCTCATCAGTTTGACGCTGGTACATTTGTGGCATCAGGGTACAAACTTACAGTGCACCAAACTATTACTAAGCTTTGGTTAAGACTTACCTTGTGCCTCCTTGTCTCCTAGTGATTCCATTGTGCTCCTGTCCTTGATCCTGGAGCTCTATCCTCCTGAGGAGCTTGGCCGCCTTATGTCTCTCTACACCAACCACTCTTCAGGAACTCTTGAGCTTGCCAGTCCTGGAAACACCATCTACAATGCATCGTTGAAGATGGTGGTTATCAAGTCACTCAAAGCGCTTTGAGTGTCTTGATAAGATAGAAAGACCCTATATAAGTACAGTCCATTTACCACCATCAGATGATAACTAAAACTCTTCTTTTGTTCGTCCTACCACAGTTCGTTTTCTCTGCTGCCACTTACCTTCCCTTTCTCACCCTGGACTACTCAGTACGCCTCTTAGAACCTACAAACAGAAAGCAGAGTAAAAAGAAGAACATAATTAGCTCTTCCACTGACTAACTTGTGACTAAGGACAATGATCACCTTCTTGTGTTCCTTGCAGATCCTCCTGGCTTATGTTAGAGAAATTCTCTCGTTCTCTGATGTTTACTCATGTAGTGGACTAGGCCTCCGACCAAAACCTGCCTCTGAAGACCTTCATGGGACAGGAACTGTTATTTCATTGATTTGAATCCAGAAATACAAATTAGCTCATCCAGAGACTGTCTAATTGTATCCTGAACTAATCAATTGAAAGAACACTCTCTTTTTTATATTATCATCACTATTTTACAATATCTTGATAATCAAAGTGTGTTTAGTTCATACCATTTCTAAATGTTGAAGTGAACCACTCATTTTAAATCAACTGTGAAACAGTATTAATGATTTTTTAATCATTTAAATTAGAAATCAAGTTAAATGTCTATTTTACAAAGTAATTATGCATTTTGATCTTCTGTCTGAAATGAGAAGGAGTGATGTCGGTCAAAAGTCGGAGACAGTCAAAAACAAGTTGTTAGAACGGGCTGTCGTGTTTTTAAAACTTTCAGACAGTAAATAAGAAAACTGGCACCTGCAGTGTTAGTCACTTCGCCAAAACATTTCTCAGTCTGTTCCTAAAACATTCTTGCTGTTTTCTTGACTTGAAAAAACCCTTTGACATCACTAGAACCACACCCCTGGTGGTTGCTTCAACCAATCAGGACTTACTAAAAGTGACCGGAAGCAGAACTCTTTAAAAGTCGACACTTCCTGGAACTATTAGGTCTTCTGAGCCTTCTGAGTCTTCTGAGTCTGCTGGAGTAATGTCTTCTAGAGTTTTCTGAAGTTTTGGGAGAGCTCTAGCTGTTCTGGAGTTCTGGAGTTTTTCCACTGCTGAGTGGAACTTCGAACTCAGTTTTCCAGTCTGATGGAGTCATCCATCTCTGCAGGAGTCACGGCGCCTTGCTGTGGCTCCACCAGGCGAATGCCCTATAACTTCTGAGGAAGTTTGTTCTGTTGAACTGAGTATCTCACAACTTCTGCCGAGTCGCAGCCGCCCTGAGGAGACGCTGAAAGGTAGCGTGCCAGGGACCTCTTGACCGTAGCGGACCCATCCTCTGCCAAGGTAAAGAGTCGTCACGAGCTTCACTACAAGTGTAGCGTGGGCGAACTGCGCTTGAAAGGAGCGTGTTGTTCTGGTCTACAGACATACATCTTCCTCCATATTTCCCATCTTTAAAACTCTTCTGTCCTGATCTAGATCTACTTAATCTAGATATCTTTAGAAATGTCTGTCGTTTTTATTAAGTAAAACATGCCAAGTTTTATTAATCAGAACCAGATCAGTCTAATCAAGTGTACAATGTTTTGATGTTAAATTTTGATTCTGTTAATAAATGACCACATTTATTTTGATGGGTCAAAGAAAATTAACGTCTCATGTCACTGATTAAACCATCTACGCACAGTACCTCTGTCACATGGCTGTAAGTAGCTCGAAAAAGAGATAACTCGTTATTTAAATATGACTGTAGTGAAGCTCTGAAGCTAACCTAGCCCTTTAGAACACTACACTCAAAAGACCAGCTCTCACGGCAGGTGAACATTTTTAACTTGCACTTTTACTTGCAAGGTCAGATTTCAGGACTGGTTACATATAAACATACGTAGATGTCTACAAATGAAAACCAGTCACAAAAAAGACACGAGCCACATTACCTGCTCGCTTTTAAATCCCTCTAAGCTCAGTCGCGCTCTTTATAGTTCAGAGGGTGTCCTTGAAGCCAGCTGCAATCTTCTTACACACAGCACTGTTCGTTCACACAAACACTGGTTCATAGGCAGAGATAAGGCAGAGTTTAGGGAGACAGTTGGGCTTGCTTTGGGAGACAACAGAGTTCTTTGTTCTCAGGACAGAAAGGAGGAATGTTCTATGCCACATTAATAAAAACATTCATAATCTTTGACCGAAATCTCCCCGAGTACAGAGATGTTGTAAATACATCATTTACTGTTTACCTTCAGAGAGTTGAGTCTTCATTCCTCAGTCTCACTCCTCCGTGAATTATTAGTTAATCATGATGATCAGTGCTTTACATGGATTTTAATGACGCAAAGTACAACAGTCCATTTTATTATTTGATAAGTACAACTATGTTTACAAACCATTCAGAGTTATTAATGTTAAATTTACAACAAACAGTTGTCTCAAGTTTAAAATATTGTCTGTTTGGAGTAATTCACCAGTTAAAACAAAAGTTACATTATTAACTAGAAGCCTGTTAACTAGTATCTGATATATGTACACATAAATGTAATGTTACATGTTTCTAACATGATTTTAGTTAACGTTGACCCCAAGTTAGCAGACAGAGAAGAAGACAGAGCCATGTGTATAAAAAGTGTTTTGTATTTACAGGTGAAGGTGTTCTGGGCTGGAAGGGACAAAAGGACAAGGTGAGAATCTTTGTATTTCTTTGGATTTAAAATAATGATTTGGTTTTGAAGGAAGTCTTTTCTTACTGATGTTGTGTCTTGTAGATGGAGCCAGAGGAGGGAGAGACGAGGTCCGAGGTTTCCACAGGAGAGTGGAGAATCAGTAAAGCTAATGAAGCCCTCTCTATAATTCATTTTAATTCAAGAAGTCTTAATGCAAACATTTCTGAGATATCAGAATTCTTAAAAAGATTTAATACACCTTTTACAATAGTAGCAATATCTGAAACTTGGTTAAATGATGAAAACATACAAAACGTTTACATAGAAGGTTATGAACTTTATTATATGAATAGAAAAAACAAGAGGGGTGGAGGAGTGGCTTTATTTGTCAACTGTGAAATAAAGTGTAGATTGTACAGCGACATGTCATTAGTAGTCGACAATATAATGGAAATGTTAACAATAGAAATAATAAACAAAAATGGTAAAAACTTTATCATAAGTTGTGTATATCGAGCACCAGGTTCAAGAATAGAGTTATTCACTGATAAATTAATTGAGTTACTAGTAAAGAGTAGTAATAAAAATGTTTTTATATGTGGTGACTTTAATATTGATCTTGGTAACAAAACAAATTCAAATAGCCACGAAACTTTCATTGATTCAATGAGTGGTATATGTTTTTTTCCGTTAATAACAAATCCTACTAGAATCACATCCCATAGTGCTACAATAATTGATAATTTCTTTACAAATGTCATATATGGGGATGTGAAAAGTGGTATCTTAATGTCCGATATAAGTGATCATTTACCAATTTTTATAACTTATAACAATGATGATATTTGTGAGAAAACTATTAAAATAAACAAAAGATCAATAAATACATCCAAAAGAGCTTTAGATAAATTTAAAAATGACCTAAAGCAACAAAATTGGGAAGATGTCTATGTAGACGACGTAAATATATCTTATGAAAAATTCATGAATATACTAGAAGTTCTGTACAAAAAAAATTGTGTGCAAATAAATAATAAACAAATAAAAAATAAGGTCGATCCACCATGGATGACAAACGGACTGAGAAATGCATGTAAAAAAAAGAATAATCTCTATTCATGTTTCCTTAAATCTAGAACGCATGATACAGAAACCAAATATAAAAAGTACAAAAACAAATTAGTAGGGATTATACGAAAACAAAAGAGGGAATATTACAGCAAATTATTAAACAAAAGTAGTGGAAATATGAGGGCAACATGGCAAGTATTAAATTCTGTTCTTAATAAAAATAAGGTTGGAAATGGTATTTCAAAATATTTTGTTGAAAATAACGTGGAAATCCACGATGAAAATGAAATTGTAAATGGATTCAACAATTATTTTGTGAATGTCGGGTCAAACCTCGCTGCAACAATACCAAATGTTGATGCAAATGTGAGTTATTTAATAAATAGTCGTGTAAATAGTATGCTTCTAAAGGGAACTGACAAAGAAGAAATAATGATGGTAGTAAATAAATGTGCTGATAAAAAATCAAGGGATTGTGAAGACATGGATATGACGGTTGTGAAGGAAATAATGAGTTGTGTAATTGAACCATTTACATATATTTGTAACTTGTCATTTTCAACAGGAATATTTCCTAACAGAATGAAAATAGCCAAGGTAGTCCCTCTTTTTAAGAATGGCAGCAAATGTCAATTTAACAACTACAGACCCATTTCTTTGCTGCCTCAATTTTCGAAAATCTTGGAAAAATTATTTGTAATCAGATTTGACCTCTTTTTAGAAAAACATAATATATTGAGTAATAGTCAATATGGGTTCAGATCAAATAACTCGACTTCAATGGCTCTGATGGAGTTGATAGAACACATTACTACAGCTGTGGATCAACAAAAA